AATAATGAAGCTGAACTGTCATTCCTTCACTGAGGTAAGACGCAGTGTGGTCTAATGTCGCGTAACGGGGACCCTCTCGTTAAACTCGTGAGAGTCCATGAGTGAGGCAATCGACTGTGCTTTTTTCTAAAAAAAGGTCAGGACCGACATGAAAGTCTGGTACATTCTGTGGACCGAACTAGTGAAAAACTAGGCGAGATCTCAAGCTGCATCAATCTAATTCTTACATATATCTCCCACTATTACCAGCCACAAGTCTGAGTCAGGCTGAACGGAAATTAAAGGACCAACGGCAATCGTGAACGACATTAGCACCACATCTCCTAAATAAACTGAGTTGTGGTCCAATAGCAAACAAAACAGACATTGCTCTCCGACACAGTTCATTTTGGCTTGACCTACTAGGGGGACGCCACCGTCTTTTATGCATATTCCCATTAAAAGGATCATCAAATGTAGTGTACAGAGCCATTTACATAATTTCATACACTCGAAGACCGGCTAGAATATACAACCGGTGAACTCTCGCGATGGCGTCCAGAAGAGCAAAACAAAAATCCAGACTTAGAAGCATCTTTATTATCACCAAAACCCCACTCTTATCCAGCAGGCAGCGAGACTAGGAACAATCAGTAGACGAGGAGGTTTCACAGTGGCATAAGTTATTACAAAAGCTGGGAAGAACGAAGAAAAAGTGCCCGAGGCGGCAGCAGCAGTAGGGGCAGTGCAAGATAAATGGCTCGCACAGAAGGACGGTGCAGGTCCTCATCGGGGAGGGGGTCTTCGTCTGTACAAAATAAACATGGGTGGAGAGACGGCCTATCCTAACATATTTACATGCCTGCTTTCCACTAGAAATGGGCTGGGGGAGGGAGGGAGACTGGGACACTGCACCGACCATGAGGAGGGGGAGGGGGAATGTTCGAATGACCCAACAGTAATTCTCCCCACCCTCCACATAAGCAGCGCAATATACTGTGCACACTGGAACCACATCTACGTCTGAGACACAGTAGCTCCAACTGCTTCAAGATCAGCAAACAGGCGATTGGCAGCGGCCTCCACCTCGGGCCGGTCGTCCTCAAGGGCTTCGGAAAGGGCAGCCAGTGTGTCTCCCACGAGACAAGAGGCTACGCCGAGGTCACTGACTTGATCGTCGGATTCTACCAGGGTGTCAAAGGTCTGTTTGAGCAAGCGCAGGGCGGCCAGACGCGTACGCCAGTGCGAATTGAGTG